CACGGGGTGAAGTGAGGGACCTGGTCAGGGAGACATTATTCCAACAGTATGAAACTCCGAGGCCGTGCTGCGGCCACGCCGCCGTTCTGAAGCTGCTGCCTCGCTGAACTGAATCCAATCACACCAAGGGCGCTACTTTACACCAGAGAGGGAACTCTTACGCATAGGCTGGAAGATGCTGTGTTCTGGCTTGAACAAAGCAGGGGCAGACTTGGGCAAGTCTCTTCTCATTCAACGTGAATGAATGAACCAAACAAAACAAACAGCGAGATACGCCAGGAAGATCTGAAAGGACTGAACGAGGCATTCCACAAACCAAGAGGGGGATCAAGACGGCTGGACAAGGGCTGGTGTTGGGAAAGCAAACTTTAAGAGATTGTGTGTAGCTGCATATTCCCAGATTTCAACGAAGATCAAGGAAGCTGAATTTAGGGGAGATAAGAAGAAGGGGAGGAGCAGGAAAGGGAACAAGAGACTGAGCAAATGTGGCAGCCATTGACATACGGTAAGATAGGGAGGCCACTGACAGAATTCACGTCTGAATTTGGTAGAAAGCACTATCAATATCCAAGTAGAACTCATCAGATCTGGAAATACATGGATTTATGAACTACAGAGAAAAAAGAAAAGGAAGATATTAAGGTAACCCAAGGAAGAAGATGAAGACTTTATCTAAGAATGCTTAAATATTCATGGAGAGAAAACAATGAAATAAAAGAACAAATTAAATGTAAGCAGTGGTTCAAGGGAGTGCTGAGAATGGACATACTAAGCGGTGTGAAAGTCTTGGCCACACCCACGGGTCTGGACTCTCCCAGCCATCATGAGGGCAGTGGGAGATTCATAAAATGACTGAAGCCCTGCGCCCCAGAGCGAGCCACAAATGAGCTGAGTGGGCTCCAGTTCCTCCCTTAGAACACAAAACAGTAGAAGCAATAGCAAACTGGGGGTTTTGAGGGAGAAATATAACAGCCATTACAAAATATTCAACCACATCATAGTTCCCATATGAAAATAAAATACTCCAAGAGATGCAAAGGATTGAAAAGTATAGCAGCTCCTCAAATACACTTTGAGAGGAAAAAAATCAGAAGTTAGAAAAATTAGAAAATCAGAATTTAAGTGCTTGGATTATAATTACAACATAATGTACAAAAATAAGCAATCAGAACCAATCAAATATTAGGTAACAAGAAAAGTTAAAGCAAATATAATCTCAACATACGGAATTATAAGAACAGTATTATTAAGTCTTTAAAAGTGGGTTTTCTAGCAATATAACATAGCAGGTCCAAATACTCAGTCATATTATTTTAAATATATTTTCTTTTGAGGAAAAAGAGGTTTGACCCTCTGAAGGTAAACTGAAAACATAAACAACCTAAAGTAAGAAAAGAATGATAAAATCTCCCCGTTGACCTTGACTCTTACACACGCGTTGCCTCTGCCCGTAAAAGTGAAGAGCACCTTATGTGTTACTAGGACGTCGGAACCATTTCTGGAACGTGGGTGCACCTGCCAGGACATCAGGACATTCTCCAATGAAAGAAGGTGGGAAAACAGAGAAGGCGCACTATGTCACTCAGCCTGGATACCGTTCTATTGAGAGCCACGTTCGCGGAGACATCACGAGAGGCGTATGAAATCTCAGTCTGTTGTCCAAACTGTGTGTCCGAAATTATGTGTTATTGAAGAACAAATCGTGAGGTAAAATACAGCTTCGTATTTAAACAACTCGATGGTAATTTGGATAATTCCCGTTCACAGCCAGTGGGCTGTGGTGGTGGGGCTGGCCAATGTTTAAGAGATCAAATTATATTTAAAAAAGCCATAGAAGAGGAATGACAATGGCTTGCAAATTGGAGCTCCCTAATAATAGCCAAATTTGCATAACACTTTTCATAGGCTTGGCATAAAATGTTAAATTATAACTGCTTATTATTGTTTCTAATAATAAAACATAACTAATGTAAAATTAACCACCCTAAGTGGCAGTCAGAGGGTTACAGCAAGGGCTCTGCCCCGCAAACGCGTGACTGCCTTGGAGCTCACGTGATGTCCGAGGGAAAAGCGGGACTGATTCTAAGAAGAGTCTTATTTCGATTGCATTATTATCTTAGAGCAATGATTAACACAGCGTCTGGTCTCTCACGATTTGTGCAGAGATACTGAGCTACACCCATGATTTGGGGATGGGTGTCCAAGATGTGGGGCGAACACCCAATCTGTGGCATTGAGGGGTGATGCTTCGGCCTATTTGGGGGCTCAACCAAGTACAAGAGCCTCAACCTCAACTACAAAGTACTATGAAGAATAAATTGTTACGGGAAAATAAATGATCGCATGCTAGACTGAGGAGTAATAGACACCAGGAGTCGCTGTCAGGAGGTGTGATTTCAGCCGGGCGGTGGTGGCGCACGCCTTTAATCCCAGCACTCGGGAGGCAGAGGCAGGCGGATCTCTGTGAGTTCGAGACCAGCCTGGTCTACAGAGCTAGTTCCAGGACAGTCTCCAAAGCCACAGAGAAACTCTGTCTCGAAAAAAAAAAAAAAAGGAGGTATTATTCCCACGGAACATAAAACATGTTAGACCAGAACAAGGCTGTGGCACAGCAGAGACAGAAGGTCACAGCATGTGTGGAAGGATTGCACCTCCGAGAAAGTTCTTTTTCTAATTGGACACAATGTCAATTATAGGAAGATCAACTGACTAGCCGATAGATCAAATATTCCTGTCTATAAAGGGATTTAAAATAAAAGTACTGCTAGCTGGTCATTTGTTGACACACGCCTTTAATCCCAGCACTCGGGAGGCAGAGGCAGGCGGATCTCTGTGAGTTCGAGGCCAGCCTGGTCTAATGAGTTTCAGCACAAGCTTCAAAGCAACACAGAGAAACCCTGTCTCGAAAAAACAAACAAACAAACAAACAAAAAGATAAAATAAATAATAAACCAAAATGTGATTTAAAATGTGGAGTAAATGACACGGTTGATTCACCTTTCTTTCCTTTTTCTTCTCTTCATCCCTCCATCCCTCCCTCCCTCCTTCCTCTCTTCTTTCCTTTTCTTTTCTAAAGCTGTTTTTATGCAGGAACTAAACAAACCATCTATGCTCCTAAGTTGTCTTAAAGCCGGCAGTCCCATTGCCCTAACCATGACCCTTTATGTTGTAACACAGGTACTAATGACCCTGACTCAGTAGTCAGGTCGGCAGGACGCGGGAGTGAGGCCCCCATCTCTGAGAGTTCAAGGTAGCCATGTCCACGGCTGACCTGACACACAGCACAACAGGGAGCACATGACAATCCCGAGTTGTCAAAAGCCAAGTAGCACATTTTTTTCAAAGGGGAAAAACATCCTTCAGGATTCTAATATTTTGAACATGAAGCCAGAATCCAGGTGCTTACTCCTCTAAGTCTTAAAAAGAAAAAACAAAAAAAAAATCAAGTGCACTATGCTGTCATTTTTAATGAATCGTCTTTTCAAAGAAACACGCTGGGCTGGCCATCCGAGAGCTCTCTTTATGGCTTTATAATTTTTTAATATAATTATTACCATGGATATTATCAGCTGATGTTTACGTCGCGTTTTACCCAGTGAATAAAGCAGCTTTTAGCACACGCCTCTCCTTCAATCCCACAGGCAGACGGCAGGCACTCAACAAGGGCTGTGACAGTCACACAACATCCCCATGCTAGCCTCGTTCTTGGGGCTCATCAGCTTTCTCCCCGAGATTACCAGCATCCATGGGTCTCACCATGACCCTACAAGTGATTCAGATTTATGATCCACCCACCCCCACGCTATTTTTGGAACATCACTAAGTGTATTAAAACAATCTCCCAGCTCTGTGCTAAAAAGTGATTGTTAGCAGCTCACAAAGCCAAGGACTGTGTCCTTCGGCAGGAAGGAAAATGCCATTTGGGAGGCCCGGCCTCATGGGCACTTCTGGACAGTAGGCCTTTCTCTGCACAGGGTCAAAGATTCAAATTCAGCAAAAGAAAATAATAAAAAGGAGAGAGGGAGGGAGGAGAAGCAGCAGCCACAGCCGCAGCTAACATGCTAACACTGATGGAGGGTTCTCACACTGCTGAATTCTCCAGCTCTTGTTACTGGATGCATAAAATGTCACTGCAATAGTTGGGGCAGATGACATGCAAATCTAAAACTATAACAGAATTGGTTCTGATTTCAGCTCCATGCTAGATGAATAGTCAAGACGTTCAAAACCTGGTTTATGTATACTGGGACAACAATATCCATCTTTTGGACAGCTGATAGCATTATATTTAAAAAGTAATTTTGAATGGAAATGCCAAAGTGCCTAGACCATAGCAGACAATTCAAGGCTATTCCCACTCTTTCCCTGTCTTTCATGGTTTCTATCATTTGTCTGCAAAATGGAAGAAGGTGGTGGTAATCTGTGCACTTGAACTGATCTCCAAATTTATTTTCATGGAGTGCTTCCACACTTTACTTAATAAACTAAAATAATAATTACACTTGAGATTATTGTAAAGTAGCATGAACTACACACACACACACACACACATATCAATTTATTTAAGGGGTGCTGGGAAGAGCAGACTCATGGAGTGGAGTTGGGGATGGAGGGAGCTGGGAATGCCGCCTGGCTCCTGACTCAGTCTTCAAAACCCAAGACAGAGAGAGAGAGAGAGAGAGAGAGAGAGAGAGAGAGAGCCCCTCTCTCCCTTTTAAGGAGACCAGAAGTCATGGCCTAAGGCCATTACACCAAAGCTATTGGTGGAATGAATTCTCACAACAGTAAATAGCAATAAAAACAGTAAATAGAAAAGGGCCCATTCAGAGTAACCACCCTCTCCCATATAAACACACACACACACACACACTCTCTCTCTCTCTCTCTCTCTCTCTCTCTCTCTCTCTCTCTCTCTCTCAAAGAGTTATAAAATAATTTTGTTCCTTAAAGGTAGTGAAAATAAAAATATTGTCTATGTAGTAAAATAAATTCAACTCAAACATCCTTCTTCAGAGCAGAGGTAAATTAAGACACTGGAATGGCTACCCCTCCAGAAGAGTCATTGTTTGTTGGGTCTTCAAGACACCCAGAAATGGTGCCAACGGTAACACAGATGACTCTGGAGAATGAAGGGGTGAGCCTCCTCCAAGGGTAGCAACCGAAGGCATCTGACCCTCCCTTCCCCGGTGATGGCAGGCAACACTAGCTAATCCCAGCTTCTTCACCCTCTTAACTTATGCTTGGCACCTCAGAACACTTCACAAGAGATTTTCCAGGCAGACGGCCACCAGATTTCCCATGCGAGTTGAAACCGCCCCCAGACCAGGCCAAAGTTGACCTCTGGACTAGTTATGAAATTAAGGGGTATAAGGGGCTTGCTCAATGAACAAATGAACAGTCTTAACCTAATTCTGATGCAACTATTTACCCTACTTATGAGCCCAAACTTTTCAGACACTTCATTACCATTCATTTAGATATAAATATCTTAATTCCACTAATAAATCATTCTTATCTCTTCATTAATAAGAGCTTCTTAAGGGTCATTATTAGGTAACGTATCCCTGGCCCTCTCAAAAACGTCATCCTAATTAATAAAACCATACATCTCTATGAATAATGTATAGTTCAGGGTCTTCAGTAATTAGATTGAAATGAAGTTTTATCGTCCTTCACTTTCATTCCGCATAGTAGGAGACGTACATAGTTCTCCGCCATGCCTATACGGTGTAGCTCACCCGGATAAGCCTCTCCTTTTACAGGCAGTGTGAGGATGTACCCAGAACTGATGTCTTCAAAACAAGCACGGTGAAACAAATGTCTGATTCTTCGGCCAGTGTGCGCCAGCCTCAGAACAAACAAGCCATTATATGAAGGGCAAAGCATTGGGATTACAAAGCCAGCGGAGAAGCAGGCACCTTTCCCGCTGGTCAGCACTGGAGAACAAAGTCACAGGAATTCCACGAATCCATGAAAAACTCCAGGTTTCCTAGCCCCCAATCAGCCTCCGCGGCCGAGAGGAGTCACCCGGGATCTATTCTCCCTCCAGATGCCATGTTTCCCTCGGGTTTTCTGACTTTGATCTCTCAGCTACATTTCTAAGCTCTGGCCTATTTCTCTCTCGTGCCCTTCAATTTCTTGCTTTTAAAACTACAGCCTGCATTTTGCTCAGAACAACTACAAAAGTCACGATGTTTGAAACGCAAGGAAACACAAACTCCTTCCAAACAATTCAAGAGTCGGCTTCCACTTTTTTTTTTTTTTTTTTGATGTCCAGTACTATGTGAATAAACTCACGCTGGAATTTTCCAGGCGATCCTGTGACCTCACCCTGCAAATTAGACTCAACCACCAGGCGTTTTGAAACCACCATTATCCAGTGTCATGTGAGAAGCCTTTGTTTTTATCCCCCGCAGGCATTTCGGTCCAGGAGGAAGGACAGACAGACGCGGCTACTTTGCGTGTTTCTGCCCTGTTATGGAAGACAGCCTGTGCTGGACAGGCAAGAACCCAGGCACACGCTTCCCTGGATTCTTTTCCCCACAGGCTTGCTGAACAAGATGTGCGCCAGAAGGTAATGTGGCCACGCCCCAGCCCACGCTGCAGAAAGCAGTCTTGTTTGCCTGCGACCCTATGCTATCTGCTGGCAAATTTGATTCTTAATTCGTATGGTTTTCCCCTGAAAGAAGGGAGCGGGGAAGCAGGAAGACAGCAGAGCCAACAGCTTAAGGCCCAATCGCCCTTTAATTTTAGTTTATAGATGAGACTTGATAAGTCCCAGAAGCAAGTAATTAGCAGGCATTTGTTAATTGGAACGACTGTGCTTTTGTGATGCCCCTTCCCCCTTTCTTTGCTTGCTGTCCTTCAGAGCTTCCAGATCTCCTCAGAAAAGGCCAGTCCTTTGATCCACAGCCCAGAAGAGCCAGGACCACCCACTCTGAGCACAGTCCCCTCTAACCTTGCCCTGTCTGTCTCCTTGAGGTGGACCATGCTGTTCTGTGTTCTCATCAACTGACCTTGAGGCCAAGCCAGGGCATCTCGGGAGCCTAGCACCCTGAACAGTATCTGGCTCCAGCTGGCTGCTCCCCTCAGGATTATCAACCGAGAACCATCAAATGGCATTTTATAATAAGGACCAAGACTGTTTTAACCCTCCAGGGCAAACTGAAAGTCACCAGCTCCAACGTAAACTGCAGTAGAACTTGGGTGCCTTCAAGAAATAGTGTCTTTGAATCGATTTTCTCACTTCTACACATCTACAGTGTCTGCAGATGCCACAGGCCGCGGAGGACAGGGGAGGGAACTGGGCTGGGTCAGTAACACTGGGCTTCAGCCAAACTCAGGGTGGAGGTGCAGCCGGCAGGCAAGATGGCGGGCTCTGCACAGAAGGCGCTCAGGCTCCTCCGCCTCCCTCCTCGGCTTTCATTCTCCCTCTCTCAGGAACCTCTTTCAGAGGATGATGTCAGTGGAAAATGACTCCACCATGCACGCCCGTTATAGTAGCATCCCTGCAGATCCGAGCTTAACTGTACTGAAACTGTCAATCAAGCAACATAAAGGAGAAAAAAAAATAAGTCCTTCTCAATCCAAGCTCTTTGAGAACTATTAGGTGTCTCCAAGCCCTACCCTGGGGGCTCCAGAGACCTAGGTAATTCACTTATTATGTGACTGGAACATACAATCCTCTGCCTCTGCTATACCCCTGTATCTTCCAGGACCGAAAATGGCTGGTCTCTGTGGTTCAGAACGAGCGCCAGGCACCACACAGTGCTCCACAAAATCAAATGCTCATGATGAGAACTGTATTTCTATAGATAATAGCAGGTAACGGGAGTGCTGGTGTCGTTATTGTCCATGTAAGAGACCTGAAAGGGAAGCCGCCCTGAGCTAATCATAGGCCTCTTCTCTGATGGTTTGACCCTCGGCAGAGAACCAGGGCCCTTGCAGAGAGGTGGCCCTGTATGACACCTACATGGGAGTGGCTGGTGGACGCTGAGGAAATGGATAAAGTCTACAAAGAGAGCAGGATGCTGAAGCCAAGTGCTGTTTTCCATTATATGCATACAGCCTCGAATACAACAAAAGAAAAACCTCAGTAACTGTCCTTGGTGGTCCCAAGATCCAGTCTATAACAGAAGTTTCTAGAAGTCTAGGAATGTGGGTGGAGTTGCTAAAAACCCCACTTATTTCCTTGCAGCCTAGCCCAGGCTGAGGGAGACACCATCTCTGGTCTTTCCGTGGCAGCTCCGGAAGGCAGCTTAAGTGTGCTGAACTAGGCTATTTCCTCTCCACGGAACTTCATGTGCACACACAATGGGAACTCATTTCCTCCTATTGGTTTTTGTTCAGGCGGTTTCCTCTGATAGGGATGTGTTCTACTCACTAATCGCTATCTGCTCCAGGTTACTACTCAACGTAAGGCAAGGCCTATCCAATGGCAATCACATCCAGCTCGCCCACTCCGTGTGGCCTCTCCCTCTTTCCTATGTTATGTAAAGCATCGTGTGTTAAGGGTCAACACAAATGGAGTTAATGTCAGGTTTCTTCTTTGTCTTTGTGCACACACATATGAATGTGTGCATGTGCATGTATGTATGTGTATATGTGCATGTGTGTATGTGCATGTGTGTATGTGCAAGTGCGTATGTGCATGTGTGTATGTATGTGTGTATGTGCATGTGTGTATGTGCATGTGTGTATGTGCATGTGTGTATGTGCGAGTGTGTATGTGCGTGTGTGTATGTATGTGTGTATGTGCAAGTGTGTATGTGCATGTGTGTATGTGCGTGTGTATGTGCATGTGTGTATGTGCGTGTGTGTGTGCATGTGTGTATGTATGTGTTGTGTGCATGTGTGTATGTATGTGTGTATGTGCGAGTGTGTATGTGCATGTGTGTGCTCATGCCTTTGGAGGATGCCATCTTGATTGGCCGCCAGGCAGTTTGTTTTGCTTCCTTTATAGCAACAGGGTATGAAACAAACAGATTTCAATCCACATTCCCAAAGGGAGGGGCTGAACTTTTTGAAAATGATTCAGGATGCATATGAAGATTTTTCAATCTTTAAATTTGTAGATTGGGAAATTTCTGAAAATTTTCCTTAAGTAGAAGCTGGACCTTGGATGTTATATGTTTCCATTTTCACTCCCTTCTCTGTGTCTGAGTTTCCTTTTCACTATTCTGCTCCCATCTCTCCCTGGATTCTGGACCGCACTCCATTCCTTTGTTTGTGCATGACCCAAACCGTATGACCCAGAACTCCAGCAAACACTTGACTTGTGAAAGTCTCTGCTATTGGCGGGTTCTCGGCCGGGCCTGGGAGAGAGGCTGTGACAGGGCTCCTCACACAGGCAACTGGGTCACCGCATCCAGGAAGGAAGCAGCCTCGCTTATTCTCTCTCCAGGCAACAAAGCCACTGCCCTTCCTTGGGGACCAACCAGAGGGCCAGAATGGACGGACAGCTGTCCCAGGAGCCTCTCTTTGCTCCAGAGACAACCCGTCACTCACTCACTCACTCATTTCCAAAGAACTCAGGAGTTGGAGCCTAACATGGTCCAGTCACCACCCGCTTGAACAACCTGAAAGCAGGCTGAGTGGAGACAATTAGTTTTATCTGTGCCAAAACATCTCAAGGCTCGGCCTGCTGTGGAGCTGGCTCATGTCCTCCATTTTCACACAGGCAGCTAGGAGAGACTTCCCAAATGTAGGCCCTTCTGTCTTCAAAAGCAACTGTGTTTCAACTCTATTAGAAGCAGGATGACCCCTTTAGTCTGAGATGACGTGTACTGGGGTCTCACCATCTCTACCAAATGTAAACATTCCCCAAAGCCTAGATAAAATTCTTCTGCGGGTAAGGCCTTCTGCATTTTGCTGAAAAACAATGTGGTCTTTGTGAGGGCTAACAAGAACTGATGAATTTGCAGAAATCCTAGGTTGAAGTCGCTGATCTTTCTAGAACCCTTAGAGGGCTGCGGTCATGCACTCACCCCAGAAAATACATGTGAACTATCACGCACTTAGTTGATTGTTTAATCTGTGTACCCCCTTTATATAGGTGTTTCCATTCAATCCTGTTCCTCAGAGAAGCAGACAACAGACACCATCTGAAGGATGAGGAAGCGTAAGTTCAAATAGCCTTGCCTAAAATCGTGCATCTGGTCTACAGTGAGACTAGGGCTTACAGGGTTTGAGTGGCCCATAAGGCTGTGCCTGAAGGTCTGTGAATAACTTCCATTTAAATCACTGGATTCTTCTAATAAATGTAGATTCCTGGGCCCCACCCCAGATATCCCAAGTCAGAATTTTGGGGAACAGGCCAAGAAATCTGATTTTTTTTTTTAAACCAAGCTTCCAAAGAGTTTAGGCAGTCAACAAAACCAGTTTTTGGAGCAGTGTGATGAGTTTTTGAATGGGGATAGCAAGAAAGCAGGTTTTCCTTTTCCTGGAGTCCCAGCTGGGTAAAGCCGTGGAGCATAGATACACGGTCCTGTCACACTGTTTCAAGTCTCATCCTGCTGGCCTTGACCTTGGAGGCTTGTCGTCTTTTACTTGGTTTTTAACTGGCCAGGCTCTCAAGGGTGAAGAAACAGGCCAGTTCCTTTTGTGAGATGCATCGTTTGTCTTCCTCAGAGGAACACAAGCAGAAGTGTCACTTCTGTGGCAATTAAGCAACTAGAACTTTCTTTGTAAAAACTGAGGTCACTCTAGACAATGCCTAGTTCAGCATTTTAGTCCTCGCCTCTCTCTGACCATTTCCTCCACCTGCCAACATTCTTCTGTGACATTTGAATAAACAGAGAAGATAATGCAGATCCCTGACTGAAGATCCAGGGGCTCAGCTGGCCTGCCTTCAGTGTTCCGAAGCTCTGCAGCACACAGTTGTGTGCACTCCAGGGTGAAATGTGTTCAGTTTACATTGCAATGGAAAGTCCCGCCTCTGTTGGCGTGAGTGGTGAAGCATGAGTCTGACTCACAGCTAATCCCCATCTAAAGAAATGCCTGTCTCCACAATAAAACACTCCATTCATTCCACGTATTCAGAGAACATTTTATTGAGTGCGTGCTAATGACCAGACACCGGCTTTTGCACACAACACAATACATGAGGATTCCTACAAAAGATAGTGTAGTCCGCATGAATGATAGTCTACCGTGATAGATTACGGCAAGTAGGGGAACAGAGCTAGGCTCTAGAGTCGTCCTTTGCTAAAGCTCAGGGAGCACACAAAAATCCAGGAAAAGTAACAAAAGAACGACAACTGTCCAGCTGCACTGCACTTTTGACAGCGGCAATGTTGCTGCGTTGTAGCTAAGCCTGTAAGTGATACAGAGGTCATCTTTAATTAGTAATGGGAGCCAGTGCAGTCTGCTGGCCTCTCCCCAATACACTCACTCTAACGAGCGTGATTCATTTCCAACAAAGCCCTGGGAGCTTCCTGGGGAAGCATTTAGACCTCAGTTTACCACCTGCCGCAAGATCTGTCTGATTCTTTTCAACTGTCCTACCGTGGAAGACTCAAACCCATTCCTATAACTGTGGCTTCAGGAAATCCATCCCCAGAAGGTGCCTCTGGCTCAAAGGTGTACCTAACAACCCAGCACACCTTCCTACAAGCCCCACCCACCAATCTTAACCCTGTTTCTCCTGGCCTGATATAGTGGTTTGAAAGAAAATGGCCCCCAAGGGGAGTGGCACTATTAGGAGGTGTGGCCTTGTTGGAGGAAGTGTGTCACTGTAGGGGCGGGCTTGGATGTCTCTTTTGCTCCAGCTTCCTTCAACTGTAAAGTGATTTCCCAGTCCCTGCAAGCTAAGATATAGCCAGCACCAAGTCTGCCTGCACACAGCTATGCTCCCCATCTTGATAATGATGAGCTGAACTTCTGAGGCTGTCAGTGAGCCGCCATGATGAATGTTTTCTTTATAAGAGCTGCCGTGGTCGTGGTGTTTCTTCACAGCAACAGAACCCTAACTAAGACATCTGCCCACTGCATCTCATTTGATAGCCATGACATCACACACTTGACAACAGTCTTATTTCCGCACTCGCGGTTCCTTGGAGTTCACGGTCCCACTCAATATCCTCCCTAAAGTGTTCCCGAAGGTCAGGCATGTCTTCCTAATGCCCACATGCCAGGGTTACACGCCCAGTTCCTATCTTTCTTAAACTTCCAGATCCGGCATTGTTTCTCACTCTTACTTGGTTACGTAAAACCTTAACGTAGGACCAAGTGGATAACATAATCTGCTACACAGACCCAACAGCACCTACAGAGGTCATGCTGCCCACACACTGTGCCAAACTGCCCTCTTGGAAACGCCATCCACCTTGGGTGCGCACGTATGCAGAATACCTAGGGTGCCCCTTCAACAGGTACCCCCCACAGCTGTGCCACCGACTCTTCTAGGTTAAACTCAAATATCCACCTTCTGTGGATAAATACCAAACTCACCACACCCTGTGTGTTATCACAGCCAGCACACAGAAGCCAGCTACCATCTTTAATCTTTTTATTAAAGACAGAAGTGGCCTCAATTTCTAAGTGTCCAACCCACTCAATTTTCACATCACAAAGCAAACATTATCTATGTAACACGGACCCAAATTAAGAAATCAGATATGGACAGGGTCCTGGAAAGCACCTCAGGGTTCTCCTGGTCCTATTTATTCCCCAGGGGCGACCTATTCCTTTGGTCCCGCTGGCTGGCTACATTTTCGGCAAAGCTGGAGCCACTGCAGAGGAGAGAGTTCTTCCAGGAGCCTGTTCTGGCAGCAATTGCCATTTCAAAGCAGGAGGGGGGGATGTGTGTGAGGGAGTAATTTTGTGTGTAGGAGAAAAGTGCTTCTAATTTTCAGTCCTGAGAATGTGAGGGAAGAAGGAGAACGTGAGGGAGGGAAAGGACTCAGCCTAAGCCTTCCCTGTTCCTCTTCCAGCACAGGTTACACCCTCATGACCTGCACGTGTGTGTGCATAGGTGAACAGGAATTAGCCAACAGTCGCATGTTCCCCAGGAGACTGCTGGAGTATGGAACATATGGGTTTTTATCTCCTGCTTTGAACCAGTGAGGAAGGTGGGATGTCACAGACCTAAGTCCAAGGTTTTCTGAGTTCTGCAAGACTGTAATAGGAAGCTCACTGGTGGTCCTCACGTCCACAACTCTGGCAACCAGGGAAGCAAGGACCAAACGGGTTCACAGGCTGTGATGCGCTAAGTCTCTCAGAAGAGCTGCACTCTACTCTCCTGACCACGTGTGCAGGCCACACTGCCATTTTTTTCTCGCCTTCTAATTCATCAAAATAGGAGGTGCAGTTGAGAACAGTAAACAAGTCTGCGGCCACAGAACCACTGACTGGGGAGTTTCAATACCTCCTGGAGAGGAACGAAACAGCCAGGCATCTACAGCGTCCTGAATGGTGACATTTTCCAACTCTGCACACAGAGCTCTCCCAGGCCAGTATTTCTACAACCATCAGCCCCTCAATTACTTTTCCTCATCAATGATTTAATCGGGTCTGGGTTATATAACATATATTCTAGCCTGAGGTGGGGGATCGGTGCTATTTAGTGGTCAGTGAGAAAACTAGCAGTTTTCACTGAAAAGGTAAAATTTCAGTATGGCAGAGTGTGGGCAGGGTTCAGTTGGCAGTTGGGGGAGGGGGGGAAGGGGAGGAGACAGAGGCCGAGGAGAGGGAGCCAGAGCAGCAGAGTGGGAAAGGCAGGGGGAGGAAAACAGGGCCCCGGTGTGTGGTAGAAGAGCAGCTTAGTGATCTTTAGGTTAAACATCAACCCGAGGGTTTTCCTAGCACAGGAATCTGCCTCAAAGCAGGCCGCAGAGGCCTGCAGCATGCCCTGGTTTTCTCGCATTACCACCTGGTCCAAGCAGGCAGCCAGCTGGGCGCTTTCCTCCCTCCTTCGCCCTGGGTCCTCTGAGCAGGCCCAAGGTAGCTAGCTGAAGGAGAGAACCAGAAACCCAACATGTCCTTGTTCCTCCTGCTTCAGGGAGGGAGGGAAGGTGGGCACCGCCCGCCGCCGCTGACTGGAGCTGAGATTAATTAGTTCTGTTGGTGACCTTGGCGCCTACCGATGGGACAGTGGGTCTTTGGGTGTCGTGAGGAAGAGGGCCACCCCTCAGGACCGGGCACTACTGCAGACACGATGGCCGTGAGGGTGGAGCAGAGGGAGAAATGGAAGCTGCAAAGTGAGGCGACCTAAAATCTGCACGCCATCTTTGAAAAGCAGCTCGGTGGGTTCTTCCCGCCGCCTGACGCGGTATCTTTCTCGCTGCGTGTGTACAGTCTACGTCTTTGCCTGCTGGTTCCATCTACCAGTTTTAGGCCAATGTCCAGCATGCTAGCAGATGTTTCCAGAGGCAACCGCAGCCTATTATTGCGGTAGACAACGATAATTTAAAGTACTGTGGAAGGTCCATCTGCTTTTCTCGTTGTGTTTAGACCTGAGTGGAGCTGAGGAGAAATGGTGCTCAAAACCCGTTCCCTCTCTGCTGGTTCACTATTCCACAGGGATCAACTGTGGGCTAAAACTGCCAGAACAGTGTGGTGTGTGCCCCGGGCTGCATAAATGAAAGTATTATATCCTGAATAAGGGCCGTGCCGTAACGACCCTAGCCGAAGCTTATAGCCTCTAGTATGCAAAGGACTGGCCCTCTGTGGAGACCTGTGGCCTGCTTATGAAGAATACCGAGCGCTGAGACAGGGTGAGCATTGACCGTGATGGGAGCCAGACTTCCATTTCAGCACAGGGAAGAATTTTCTAAGCAAACATTGTGGTTTATGTGCATCTGGGGTTGCGCTGGTTCACTCTGAGTGGAGTCGTTAGAAACTGGGGTTGTGCTGGTCTACTCTGGCTGGAGTTGTTAGAAACTGGGGTTGTGCTGGTCTACACTGGCTGGGGTTGTGCTGGTCTACTCTGGCTGGAGTTGTTAGAAACTGGGGTTGTGCTGGTCTACACTGGCTGGGGTTGTGCTGGTCTACACTGGCTGCAGTCCTTAGAATCTGCTTGTTAGAGCTCTGGGAGAGTCTGGATATAGATATGACCTGCACCAGATCTTCACTTTCCCACTGGAAGCTTCCTTCTGATGTTCACCCAATGGTAAGGAAAGTGCAGCCCCATTCTACCGTGTCTACCCAAGCCATCTCCCATTCTGGTGCCTGAGTGCCCAGAGCAGGCTGCCAGCGGTTGCTGCAAGCCGTGGGAAGTAAAGAGTTAAAAAAGACCAAAGCTGTCCTATGGCCCCAGCTGCCCCAGAGGTAGCAGGTCCCTTTGATCCTGCCTCTTAATTGCAGCTTAGCTGCACCAGGGAACTTTAAAGAAAAGAAACAGGGAGACTTGAGAGATAGGGCTTGTTTTGTTTCCTGAGGGGATGGTCTTTGTGGCGGCTGCCAGGAAGCTGGTACTCCAGAGCTCCTAAACAGGAATGCATCCCTTCTCCCATCTGAGCATCAGAGCTGAAGAGATAACTAGGAAGACTGAACCTATGGAGGCCACTTGGTAAGGATGCTAGGAGCAGACTTGAGCAGAAGATTGAGCAGGGAAAGGGAGCCATAACTTAGCACAGCAACAGGCAGAGCAGACCACAGACATCCCACATCCCAGAGCAGCTATGCAGCAGCAGTGAGCATCCTTAGAGGAGGAAGGAACTTCCGGCAGGAAACACACCACACAAGGAGGGAAACTGAAGACAAAAAGTGTTCCTCGCCAGGTGGCAAAGGCAGATGATCCTAACTGCTAGGAAGGCTGGGGCAGAAAGATTACAAACTCGAGACCAGATTGGACATTTTAGCAAGACATTGCCTCGAGACTAAAAGAGAAAGAACAGGATGGAGCCCAAAGGGTTTGCCTAATGTGAGAAAGACCCTGGGTTCTATCCCATGAACACAAAACATGTTTCTAGGAATTCTCCCAATTAGCAATGTCAAAACAGCACAAAACTCCTCAGATTTGAATAGCGCTCTCTCTATCTCTCTCTCTCTCTCTCTCTCTCTCTCTCTCTCTCTCTCTCTCACACA